TATAAACCATTTTGACTTAAAAGCTGATAATTTAAAAATTTAAGATAATTCCATGTCACTAATTAACATTTCAGTATCTTCCAGTTCCTTCAGGTATTTTAGGTACATGCTCCGGCGCTTGGGAGCTGTTATGAACCTGACTGTTTGTATACGATCTGTGTGGGGATTTCCATTTGAGGTGCATACGTATTTATTTATAATTGTCATTTCAGGTGAATAGTGACTATTTTCCAAAGACCTATTTGCCAAGAAGCTCAGAGAGAGTAGAAAAGTAACAAGACTGCGACTTTTATGAATGAGAAAGCCACACGCAGTACACCCTTGATGGTATCGTAAGGTATTTGCTAGCATATCAGAACCCAGAGCCCAGGGCTGGAAGGGGTTCTGTGCATAGGCTTTGGGAACGTGGCTCATTCCCAGGGCGGGGTCTCGGTCACAGTTCTCCGACGGACCCACTGTGCCTCTTGAGGCAGGTTCTGTCCCCACCATTCCCTCGTAGGTCCCACACCTCCTTTCTTTTTCCGTGGCTTCTTTGTGATTCCGTAACATCTGAGGAGAAAGAAAGCTTTTCCTTAAAGGAAAGAACAGATTTATCGCAAATAACCCTGGAACCTGAATGGTTGCTTAGGTGACAGGTGTTGGGTTTTGTCGTCTTCGGCGAATGGGAAAGGCAGCTTCCTCAGCATGTGTTTGTCCTCAAAGCAGCGAGTCTGAATTGATGTTTATCCAGAAAGGATAACTCATGCACAGAGGCATAGAGACCAGGCATCTAAATAAACTCAGACACCGTGTCCTTCAGAACTTTTAAACATTGATCTTCTCTCTCGTGGAAGGGGACGGAGCCAGGACCAGATGTGTATGCGGCTGAGCCGTTGTTAAAAATCGGCCCGCTGTGTCCTCCCCCCTCCCCTCTCTGCTTGGTGTCAACGGCTGTCTGCACTCGTGTCAGAACTAGACCCGGCCAGCCTGACTCCATGCTCCTGTACCCTTCACCGTCTTCATCTTGCTTTACTGGGGATGTGCATGATCCAAGGTTCGAGATCCTTCTCTCGAACTGGGAGCTGGGGAGTGACAGCATAAGCAGGACTCTGCCTGTGACCGCAGGGCACGCTGCCCCGTGCGGGCTCTCAGCTGGCGTGCAGGGACCCTGGCTAGGACGTTGGCCTGCTCTTTGTGGAGCGGACGACTTGGGTCTCTCTAAATCCAGCCGCCGCACCAGAGATCTTCGAGGACGAGACTCACTGCAGGAGAACGGGCCGGGGATATTGACGTAAAGAGAACCAGTCCGTGTGTGTGTGTGTGTGTGTGTTTGTTGCTCGTGATCTTAGGGCACAGTAATTTTGAGTCAATTTAATAACCTAAATCAGCCAGTTAATGTTCACATTTTGAGTGCCCCGTAATGGCTGAGCTCCCGAGAGTGCACTGAGGGATGGAGACATGTCTTGCAAGTGATATTACCTCGCTCTTTGGCGCTTTCTTCGTAGTGGAGTCTCTGAGGTGATGCTTTTGGAGAGTCAGAGGTGTGGAGACCCGGCTGATTTGAAGAGAAGCTTGGAGTTCTTAAATCAAGAGAGGGAAGATGTGGAAAATAATGCTATTTTGGGTAGGGCGTGGGCTTGGGTGTGAGAAGGTACTACTCTACTGAAGGTAGCCATGATTTATGGAGCACCTGCTATGTGCCTGGATTATACTAAGTGCTTTGCAACTCTTTATCTCACTTAGTCCTATGGAGTAGGTGGTTACATTTTATATATGAGGAGACTGGCTTGGAAAGGTGGTTAACTTTCCCAAAATCATAGATAGAGTTTAAATCTAGTTCTTTCTACTTTGTGAAAGTAGATTTGCGGTAAGACTAACCTTTTCCTTCACCCTCTGGTTCCAGTATTTCCCCCCTTCCATGGTCCTGAATTTTTTTTACTCCCTGTTTGTGTGCTCTTGAACTGCGGCTACTTACAGATGGGTGAACATAGATTGATCTTCTGAAACACAGCATCTTGGGGAAGAGAACGACACTTTATAGTTTGAATTGACCTTTGCCTTGCCTTGCTCAACGCCGAGTTGGTCATACTTGTATGAGCTAATGGGGGTTGTAAATGCAGAGAAAAGAGAAGGGGCAGTGTTTAACCTTGGCCACCAGATGGAGGGCACTGGGTCCCTGCTCTGCAGAGCTTAAGGAAGTGAGACCCTGGGGGACACTGGCCACTGAAAGGGAGCTGAGATTTCATCAGGGCAAACTGTCCCTCTTTCATTCTTGTTTCAGAGCTTCCTCAGGGAAAGAGGAAAATACAAGGGTCCGGACCTTGGTGTGGTTCCTTAGAGAGTCATGTCAAGTACAGTTGGCACCTTGGTTGCATGATGAATCAGTGAAGAGTAGAGTAGTAAGAAATGACATACGCCCACCATGAACATTTATTAAAGTTGGAGATATCGGTGTTCAGAAGTGGCCAGTCTTGGATGTGGCGTCGGAACCATGTCTCTGGATGCTGGTCCTCTGACTGGTGTTCCACGTTCTCACTCCCACGAGAAGCACACTCCTCCGGCATCACCGATGGTGTTCAGTCTTATTCCATCCGAACGGTGCCGGCACAGTGGCCGTCCGGAGCAGTCCAGGATGGAGCCCATCGGGACTTTAAGTCCTTCTTTCCCCCCAGAACACTAACGTGGTCTCAGACACACCTCATGTGGCAGCAATCTCTTCTTAGCTCATTTTGTTTGTCCCGTCTTCCTAAAGCATTGAGTTTCATTTTTATAGCAACAACCGCTCACTTGGTTTTCAGACTCAAATTCGTGTTAATATTGAATTGAATCAGGTAGAGACAGAAACCAGCTCCAGCCTGCGTGAACAGGTTTGGAGGCAGATGTCACCGAGTCTCGGTAAGCGTCACACGTCACTCGTCAGGCTGATGGCAGCCGGTGCCCATGGCAGGGAGTGGCGCTCAGCGGCCACGCGCTGTCCCGTGTCGTGAGGGGGCAACAAATCTGGGCCCGGACTGCGGTGCCACATTGCACCTGCTCCATCATGGTGAAGGGAACCATTTATGGCCGGTGTCCCGGGGACAACCGCAGCAACTTGTTCAACTTGATTTGTACCGCTGTGCTTCCCATCTTGAATTGCCCGCACCAGGGTGCTTGTCCTAGCTGGTACTCGCAAAGGTGTTACTGAGGATATGATCAGGATGTGGCTGTGTGGCTGGAGAGAGCAGGGTGTGGACGTTGCTGCCACCTCGGGGCGTGATGCCTCTGGACGTCTCTACCAGAGGGAGAAGCTCCGTGGTCGGGTGTGACCCTGAGCTCTTCCCCGGCTCGCTCAGGTGCTGTCGCCAAGCTCCCCCTGTAGTGTAAAAGCTACAGGGCGTCCACGCCGATGACAGCATTGTTCTGCGTACGGTAATTAGTTCATAAAGTGTAATTACTTAACACAGGGATTTGTTAATTTGGTTCATTACTTGACTTCCTTTAAGAGCTAGTCATTAACTCCGTTATTGTTCTTTTTAGTTAGGCAGGAAAGATTCATACCAGTTATTACTTGCCAGCCTCTTTGGTGTTGAAGGAAAAGCAAAAGCCTAGAACGTTGGGGTCAAACTTGATTTGCTTTCCTGCCCTTGAAATAAGTTAGACACGACTTAAAGCAAAATGCAGAGGCAGCTATAAAGAACGGGCGTTTTTTGCTGTTTTTTTTGCATGTTTATTCACATAACTTCAGATTTACTTTGATGTCCATTTCATAGTGCCTGGCACCAGAACTTATCCAGACCTATTGAAAGACCACATCTTCTGAGAAAACCCATGGTTTGAAAGTTGGCTAGCGGATGTGATTCTTGATCGGGTCTGGACAAATTCTGCCCTGTCATGTGTCATGAACTATGGTTCAGAACATCCTCTGAGGGCTCAGGTGAGAATCCGCACTGTGCTGTCACCTGTATTGCTGTCCCTGACTCATCTTCCTGGAAAGTGGGGTTCACATGGCCTGTGAGCACTGTTTTCTTATAGGGGCACGAGAAAAGGGCTCAGGCTCTTTAGGTACCAGCATTGGATCTTTAGGTTCAGTCCGGTTGCAGATTTGGCCTGTACATTTAGCAGGGACTCCTGGTTCAAAGCAAAATGGGAAACCTCATAAGATTCACATCATCCATAAGGTAGGGACTGGCCAGTTTTTAAGAAAAACTTCTCTTATGTGGTATATATATTTAATGGCATATTACTCAGCCATCAGAAAGGATGAATACTTACCATTCACATCAATGTGGATGGAACCTAGAGAGTATTATGTTGAGTGAAATAAGTCAGTCAGAGAAAGATAATTATCATATGGTTTCACTCATATGCGGAACTGAAGAAACAGTGCAGAGGATCACAGGGGAAGGGAGGGAAAATTGAATGGAAAGTCATCAGAGAAGGAGACAAACCATGAGAGACTCTTCACTCTAGGAAACAAACTGAGGGTTTCAGAGGGCAGGGGGTGGGGGGATGGGGTAACTGCGTGATGGGTATTAAGGAGGGCACGTGATCTGATGAGCACTGGGTATTACATAAGACTGATGAATCACTGAATTCTACTTCTGAAATTAATGATGTACTATATGTTGGCTAATTGAATTTAAATTTAAAAAAAAAGTTTCTCTTAAAAGCTGAGAGAGGAGGGCGCCTGGGTGGCTCAGTTGGTTAAGCGACTGCCTTCGGCTCAGGTCATGATCCTGGAGTCCCGGGATCGAGTCCCGCATCAGGCTCCCTGCTCAGTGGAGAGCCTGCTTCTGCCTCTCTCTCTCTGCCTGCCTCTCTGCCTACTTGTGCTTTCTCTCTGTGTGTCAAATAAATAAATAAAATCTTTAAAAAAAAAAAAAGCTGAGAGAGGAAAGATAACGCGAAGGGGATGGCAGTGCTTTTCCCCTTGGGCCCGAGGATCGGCTGATGTGGTAGTTTTCGCAGCGTCGGTATAGAGAGATAGGATGTATGACTCAGGTGACAGAGGTCGGGAGTCTGAACTCTCGGGTAATCAGTACCTTGCTCTGGGAGGATAGGATGACCAGTGTTCTGAGGACCTAAGATCAAAAGAATCCCCTTGGCTTGGGGGTTGGACCTCTATTGGCTCACCTGCAAAATCTTCTGGGGCTGTACTGCTCGGCCCGCGCTTCTGTTAGCTACATCTTGGGTGTCCATACTGACAGAAGAACACTTTGCCAGGAGAATGTTTTTTCTTGCTGAGGCACAGCTGTCAGGGAGGTGGCCAGTCTGTGTAGCTTTCTCAAGCACTTGGTCTTCAGAACTCAGTACCTTTATCAGGTGGAGTTCCTAGAACAGTCTCTTAGCTTCACCTGCCTCCCTGTCTGCTGCAGTGGAGTTTCTCAGAGATTCTGATTGTCATCTGCCTGTGGTGCTAGAAAGAAAGACGAAGCAAGTGAAGAAGTGGACCACACGAGTGAAGCTTTAGCGCACGTCTTCCCAGTCGACGCCAGGCGATGGTTTGGGCTGCTTCTGGTCCCCGTCATCGGTGTCCTGTGAGGCAGTCTTCCCTGTCAGCGTCTGATCCTCCTGTTGTGGACTAGCCCTGGTGTCTTCGGGCAGAGGAACCGGACATACGTCCTTGTTTTCTGAGCAAAGAGCTAGTGGACAAAGGCCCACCTGACTGGAGTGACAGGTGGGTAATACGTGGGTACACAGTCAGGGTCAGGTCATGTTTTGTTCAGGGAATGTCGTGTGTGTGGGTGGGTGATTAAAGAGGTGCTGGTTCCACTATGTGTATGTGTGTTAAATTATCATGTTCTCCACCCTAGAAGGGTAAGTGCAGTCAAGACATGGTGGCTCCAGTAATTGGTGATGAATGCGTGAGCCTTGCTGGACGGACCCGTGTGCTGTGAGCGGTGGTGCTCTGCTGGTGGTGGTGTGGAATCTGCCGACTTACCCTTTGGTTTCATCCCACCACCCCACAGAAATTTGTAGGTGCATTTATTTTTCTTCTTTTTTCTGGGCACTGTCTGTTTTTGTGAATATCCATGTATTATTTTTAAAACAAATTGAGTTTTTACTAAATTAGAGCTTTAAAAAACATTTTCTTGCAGCAGTTTTTAAAAAACAGTTTTTCAGAATGTACTGTGACAGGTCAAGGGACCTCTGGATCCTGTTCACTCAGTGTTAACGACTGTCAGCTCTCTGTGATTGTGGTTCCCGGACAGGGAGGGAGGTATTTTAAAGCAAATCTCAGACATCATATCATGTTACTCCAACACTTTGTTCTCATGTTTGTTACTCCAGTTATTTACTTTTTGTCTGTTGACTTTTCTTTCTCCTGTTCCCGAAATAACTCTTGGACTCTGCCCTGCTGACGTTATAAAGGTACACACTTCTGGCAATGTCACCCTTTGTGCAGGGCTCGATGGGCTGGTCGTCAGGGACCCCCTGAGGAGGACAGCCTCGATGGCGTGAAATTACTAGGAGAACCCGGAGGTACGACTGCGGCCTCCCTGGCTCGTGGGGTGAGGTGGAACGCGAGGCCTTTCCTTACGATGTTGTGTTTACGAGAAGTAGATCCAAATCTAAGTCCTAGTGATTGGTGTGATTTATCAAACTCCTACAGAAACTATGGCCTTGAATCATAAGACGCTCTCAGGGGGTGTGGCTAGATCTTGTTTTACTTCTGTAGTTCCCTGGGCAGAAAGCTGTTGACATTAGAGCTTAGTCGTGTATAAAATTCGCCATGCTTTGAGCACGCTCACAGTCTCTCTTCTCTTGTGCAGCGTTGCCTGGTTTTGAAAAGTTTCCGTATGGTTTGTCTGATCAGGCCCCACCACAGCAGCACTGGTGAGGAGAGGTGCTGAGCTCTGCCCAGGTCAGTTCAGAGAGACGTTAAAGGATGAGAAGGGGCCGTCAGTGACTTGACATTAGTTCTCGTGTCCCCTAGCCTGGAAGCCTTCCTGTTTCGAAGGGTTTTGAGTTGCTTTGGAATCTGCCGTGAAACTGGAGCACGCCTTTTTCTTTATACTTGAACACTGCTGTGGCAGATGTTGGGGGAATTCGCAGAACGGTGGACGAGATCCTGGAGATGCTTGGGAAAGACTTGCTCTCATTGACGTTCTTCTGTTCCATGGTAGGGCCAGGGGAGCACACACGCCTCTTCCTGGGGCAGATTCCTGCCATCACTGTGTCGCCCCCATGACCTCGGTTTCCCCCATGACCTCTCTCCATTGCTTGACCAGACCCTGACTGTGACCACTGCCACTTTGACCTTCGTGCACAGGTCACCTTTGTGACAGTGGAATTCATTTGAACCTAAAGTGTCTGAAATTTTTCCTGGGAAATGGAGATCTTTGATCCAGTAGAGAAATTGTTTGGACATGCCTCCACCCCCATAGGAACTTGGTGCAAACATCAAATTTCCCAGTTCCTTTTAAAACGTCTAGACATGAACATTCTATTGGCTGAATTCCCCGAGGGAGTAAAATGATTCTTCGGAGTTTATGCTCTATTCAGGAAATTTTTACAGTAGCAATCTCAAAATTTGTGTATTTTGTTTCTCGCAAAGATACTTTTTATTTCATCGTTAAAATTGGTTTCCAGCTGAAGTGTCTTTCCTGCAGCAGGTGTATTTCATAAAACATGGTGCATGTATTTTATTTAGGGGCATTACACAAACGTAAAGTACCAACCATCTGAGTAAGAATCGGACATAATTTCAGTGCAGATATTTAACAGTGGTTTATTATTCAAGGAATTCTTTACAGAAAATAGGTTAATCTAATTTTTCAATATGAAGTTACTTTGAAACAAGGGAGAACCAGCTAAAATCGGGGCGGGGAGGGGGAATGTGTATTACCCGATAGGCTGTGCTATTTCAAACATTAAATTAGTCAAAATTGGGATAGCCAAATGTTATCAAACCGAGGTTCTGGTTTTAATACGTAAATAAAACACAGATCTGCAGTTAGTACATTAGCCAATATGCAAATGGTGCTGCCAAATAGTTAAAAAAGTGCTTAGAAGCAGTTTTGTTTGTGAAACAAAAAGCTTCATACGAAGTCTAATGAGATACAGGGCTTGTTAGAGATCTTGTGTTTTGCGGGCACCGCGAGACCGAGCTGAGCACGCGTGGTCAAAGGGCTACAAAAGAGCAGCTCTGTTACTGAGCCCCTGGGCCTTTGGACCCAGCTGGGATTCCAGAGGGCTTTCCTCTGGGGCAACTGGTGGTGGCGGGGCCTGTGGGGTAGATGTGGGGACGAGGAGACACACACGAAGCCCATCGGTCAAGTCTCTGCCCTGTCATTGCCATGTGACCGTGGGTAACGCACTTTGATGACCCCAGTTTGTAAACCTAAAAGATTCAATTAGAGTGTGATTTTCAAATGGAGGTGCTCGAATTACCCCAGAGAAGAGTTGGTGGGTCAAGAGGTGTGAAGTAACATGATAGGCGCATGATTTCTTGAAAGTTCCGGCAAAGGGGATGGTTTTTGTGGGATGCTAGCCTTGACTGTAGTCTAGGGCAAGACACAGGATTTACATGGGGTTTTAAGGTAAACCATGAACAGAAAATATCGGCCCTCTTACCGTGGGGTCCCTAAGGCCTGTGCACCCAGGCCCTCGGGTGGCTGTGTCTACCCTCTGCTCACGGGAGTCTTGGGAGAAAGTGTTCAGAATGTTACAGTTGCCAGATGATATCTAAACTCTTTCCCTCTTCGTTGATACCATTCCTCTGTAAGAACAGATCAGGGGCACCTTTCTTGGTTTTCCCGTTGTTGTGTTTGTAGGTTACTTAAGACAGCACGTGCCCGTTGAGGGCCAATTCCTGTTACATTAAACAGTTAGACTCATTGATTCATTCATTCTGTGTAGCCATTGAGTACCTGCTCTATGCTAGGCATGGTTTGGGTCTTTTAATGAGTAAATTTTCTCTGTTGTACTATTTAACTTAAATAACCAATATTTTGAGTAGATGATACATTCACGTGTTCCACATTCAGGTGGTAAGAGAGGATTCACGGGCACAGGGTGGTTCGCACCCTCGCCACCCAGGTCCACTCCCCAGGGTCAGTCTGTAAGAACTGTGTTGAAGCCTTCAGGCGATATTTTATGTGTGTATCTGCTTCCCTGTCTTTTTTACACAGTGGCATGATACAGTACGTATAAATCTCCCCCTCACTTTCTTCATCTAACAGTTAGATTTGCATTTTTTTTAGTCCTGAGGGACGCACCTCAAATTGTTAGCACAGACTCTCTGAAGGACGGGGCTGAAGAGGCTTGTTCACCCATCCTGCCTGCCTGCACTTGAATGCACTCGAATGTGTTTGACTGTCTCACAAGGGGAGTATGTTGTTTCTGTAATGGGCAGGGAAAAAGATAATATAAGGTAAATACGTTCACACAGACACAAATAAATGTGTCTTTGGGGAATAGGTCACGGCTGTGTATGTGGGGTGGAGGTGGGGAGCTCTTCAGAGTTTGGAGCCCTGGGGGCTGGGGGTAGGAGCTAGGGAGGGGCTTTCGACCCGGGAAAGGGGCTCTCTGAAAGAACCCTAGTTATGTTTGCATACCTTTGCCTAAGAGGTCAAGGAACGTGAGACTGTGTGGAACTTCCTGGGCGGTTTGTCCCCTGATGTCACCCCCACTGTTGCAGATGTGACTTGTGCTCAGGAATGGTCTTTGTGACAGATAGAGCTTGAGGGGCACTTGGGGCCAGAAGGAAGTCTGTTCACAGCTTGGGCTCTGGACAGGAAACCTGCCCTTGACTCCCAGCTGTGGAGCAAGGGTGTGGACGGTGGACACGCTAGCCTGGGCAAGGAGTGGAGGAGGCGGGTGGGCCCTGTGTTAGGAGCCCCCAGGGGTGGTGACCCGAGTGTGCTCCTGAGGTGGCGGGTCAAGAAGGGAGAAGAATTTGTCCATGATAACAAGGCGTGTGGTCACAGTGCCCCCTCACTTTGAAGACCTGAAGACACATTCTGGAATCGTCTGTCAGCATTACTCCACCATGTGAAGGGAAGGGGAGGGACACCATCCTCGCTTGGAGGTGCACGCCCCTGAGTGTTGGGCACTCTGGCTTGAAGCCAGATGTTGGAAGCCTGTTCCAGTGTGTGACCTCGAGCACCTCAGCTCACGTCTGGGGCCTTGGTCCTCACCTGTCCATAGCGATTCTTACTCCTTTTCATAGGATTGCTTTGCTTTCAACGAGCGTGTCTGTAAAAAGCTTAGATCCTAGTAAGCTCTGAGTAGTGTTTGCTGTTCTCACCTCCCTCCTTGCCCCAGGAGGTAAGAACAGGAAGTGAGAAAGCTAGTAGCGGACCTTCCCTCCACACTCAGAGCAGAAGTGTGCTAAGGAAGGGCCTTGGATATATATTTTTTTCTCTTTAAAGAGAGAGTATGTGAATGGGGGTAGGGGCGGAGGGAGAGAGAGAATCTTACGCAGGCTCCATGCCCACTGCGGAGCCTGATGCGGGGCTCGATCTCATGACCTGAGCTGAAATTAAGAGTCAGATGCTCCACCGACTGCCACCCAGGCGCCTGTGGCCTTGGGTTCTTGATCCTGCTCAGTTCTTGGCTTAAACTGCCCTCTGAACATTCAGTGCCCTTCAAAGTCATTTAGAGGTCACTGGGGCCCCTGGGAGCCAGAGAGTCGGCTCTTTCGGACGGTTATTGCCCTGATACTTGGGCAAT